CCAAGCAGCTTTGCAGAGTTGCACACCTTAGCACCCAAAAAAGTTTAAATTTTTCTTTTATAGTGGGGGTTTATAATATACCAAAAAAGTTTAAAGTTTACCTATTAAGCAACTTTGCAGAGCTGCACACTGTAAGCTCGCTCCCAAGCAGCTTTGCAGAGCTGCACACTGTAGGCTCGCCACCACTCTAGGCTCGCTTCCGCTTGGTCGCATGCATCGCAGGCTGCTCCAAGCGAGCTTTGAGCTGCACCAGGTATCGCTGTGCAGTTCTGCAGGACACAGTTGCCTTGTGGCATCTCCTGCTGATCCTGCCTATCTGGCCGACAAACGATTCGGCTGCCAGCAGCGTGTAGATGTTGGCGTTCACCCTGTGCTGCGAAGCATCTTCAATCATGTGCTGAAAGTAGTGATGCTTGGGCAGCAACTGGAACATGAACGTCGTCGCAGAATGCAGCATGGCATAAACACGTAAGTGTGACATGCCTGTCTTGTGGAATTCAGCAGCCTGTTGCTCTGTCAACAGCATGCCAAACTCATCCAGACATCGCAAAACACGAACATACGTGAGCATGCAAGCAGCCAGCTGCTCGTCCTGCTCCGACTTGCCTGCTCGCTTTGCAAAAGAAGCTGTCTCCTCAGCCAGCCAAAAGCTGATGACCTTCTGTGCCACTGCTTTGCCAGTCAAACTTGGGAATTGCAACTTCTTCGTTCTGTTCAGCCGAGCAGGTGTAAACCTCGCTTGAGTACATTGCAAGCGACACTTCCTCTTCCAATCTTCAAACCTGCCATAAGCCAGATTCAGCAGCGGAGCCAATCTGGCGTCGTACTTGCCAACAGCTGGCCACTCGCCGAACCAACCGTTTTCTGCAAGGTACACCAATGCAGCACCTGCGAACCAACAGATCGTCAAAGCATAACGGAATATAACTGTAGAAAAAGCACCATATCCTTCCAAATTTAAAGAAAAAATGCTGGCTTTCTGACTCAGGAACCGTTCAGAACCTTCGAAGTGCCCAGCAACTGTCCATGGCACGGGTCGTGGAGGAACCTCTCGTAAAGCATTCCCGGGATCTGGAAGATCACATTTCCTTATTTGCAATCACAAAAGCACAGTGCACAAGCTTCACAACTTACTCGCAACACGACATGTTGTGCAGCCCAGGTTCGTTCCTCCAGTGGTGTGTTTGCAACGAAATGCTTGTGATCATAGCGTGCGCGGGTGTGAGCTGCACCTTCACGAAAGTCGCCGAGCGTCATGCTTTTATCGTCGTGTGTCTTGCAACACGGACAGTAAGAGCAGAATTGATTGCTCCGATACGGCTGCATCTGGTATTTGTCATTTATCCACTTGAGGTCCCCTTGACACGAACTCCAACAAAATTGGTAGCCGTGACTGCTCCATGGAAAACCTTGGAACTCCGGTGACACAAGCTTCTGAAAACGAGGAATAATACCATTGAGCACGTCCGTGTAGGTGTCGGACGTAGCTGTATGATCGCTGTATACCGATACCAAAAAGTAACGGCCAAGTGGGTCTTGCTTTGGTGTAAGGTCCGTCGTAAATGCGATCACAGAAACTGAACCAGCTTCCGTTGCCTTATATGCAGCAACTTCATCGCCGTAAAGGCTCAAAGGGATAAGCTTTGAACGGTCTCCCTTCCATCCAAACATGGGGTGCTCGCGAAACCATGGAGCATTTCGCTCCAGATTGTCCCAGTAGGCTTTCGCGTTCACGGGCAAGAAAAGGTCGCGAAAGTATTGCTCGCCTTTGCTGTTCCAGATAGAGCAGAGCAGGTCGTCCGGGGGGATAACCGAAATAGGCTTCCACGTAACCGCATACGGTTTCC